AATTTATCAGTGCTAAGGAAATACATTAGTGTATTGTGGAGTATTTCCTTAGTGACTTCGCGCAAACATAATAGCTAAGTATTTTTTTATGGTTTTGACAGTTTTTATTCTTTTACTTAAATCAATATGCTTTTGAAACGGATTTCTAGAATTTATGGTGATGCGTTTGATTCCAGGTACTCATGGCCACATGAAATGTGTTTTCGACGGTCAACTGAAATCCATGGACACAGTGCTACTAAATCTATACAAAAGGGTGTTTCCCAAGTGGACATATGAGGACCTTCTTGTGAACTGTGACAATAATGAGGGTACCATGGAAACATAGAATTAGGAATGTTCATTTTCTGCATAATAGACTTATGCAATGCAACTGATCCTTTTTATTTTTTGTTTTTGAATGTTAAATTATGGATAATAAAACAATATAAGAATCTAAGGACTTTTTGACTCTGGGCAATGTAGTGGTAAAAAATGGCGTCAGGTAAGTTGGGCGACTTTAAGGCAAGACTTAAAAGCAGTTGGTTTGCTACTTTTCTACTCGTAACAGCTGAAGAACGGAGGGTTGATTTCCTCATAATAGGCCCCTTACAGGACTGCCCACACCACTCATGTGACAAACGCTTTTACGTGTTAAGAACATTTTCGGAGTTGTCGAAAAAATCTACAAGATTTGCCATTTAGAATCGTCCAGTGCATCTCTTCTACATTTTGTACTATCATAAGTAATATCATAAGGGCATCTAATTTTTCCGAAAAAAATCTAAAAAACACGTTGCCAAGCAATATTTTAACAAGAAGCATGACTGCTGGTGGCATCCCGCGCGAATGTTTTTTGTTAAAAATGTATTACTTTGCATTCTGTTTTTTCGATTTTTTCACAGGAAAAAATTAGATGCCCGAATGGTATTTGACAATACTAGTTCATGAGTATTCTGAGTACACATAGCTTACAAAACATACTATTTACCTATTACCTGCAAATTATTTCGTTTCACATTACGAGCTTTATTACTAGACTTAAAGATAATATCTTTAAATGGATCAAAAATTATTTTCCTCTTCATAAAATACATCTCTTACATTTTTTTGCAACGGTATTCCACAACTAGTTCTTTGTAATTTTCACCGTTTTCTGTCTTCATATTCAATCGCCAGATCAATATTAGTCAAAGAAGCACTTCCAAAGCGACTCATTTTCACTACATAAGCATAGCACTGTTTAAAAACAATATTACAAAATTTGTTGACAATAAAAAACTGGTTTATCGTCGTTTTCTGGTGTCCTAGGAGACCATAATTAATTGTTATCAAAGGTATTGTAATCACCATGGGAAAGCTCTGCTAAGTATCTCGGTGTCACTCTTGACAAGGGGATGATCTGGCAGAAGCACACTGAAGCGTTAAAAACTGAATTCCATATCTCGTTTCGGCAACTCTACCCTATGCTATGTAGAACATCAAAATTAAGTTTCATCAACAAAGTTCGGCTATACAAGATGGTTATTAGACCAGCGATCACTTACGCAAGTCCGGCTTGGTGTTTTCTCGCCAAAACGCTTTTGCGTAGCCTGCAGGTTTTACAGAACAGAACCTTGCATACAATCACTAACGCCCCATGGTATGTTTCCAACGAGACCCTTCACAGAGACCTTTACATCTCTTACCTAAGGGACTACATCAAACAACAAGCGCAGCTACGTTATAGTCAAGTGGAATCGCATAGCAACACTTTGTTGCGCGAATCAGCAGACAACACAGTCGAGCAAGTTCGCAACCACAAGGCCGCGACCCGCATTATGAACAAAATTAAATCGTGCGACTTTATGTCCAACCAAAATTATAATTTTTCTTCAACAACCAATCCCATAATTAATTTTAAGGATCAATTTAAAATTGACGAATACTAATTAGCAATCCCCTCAAATTGACGCACTTCTTTTTTCTTTGCTCTCCCTCCTTCCTTCCTTTCTTCTTCCCTTCTTTCTCCCTGACTTTGTTTGGCATCTGGGCAACCAGACCTGACAGACCTACTGACTTACAAGACTTTAACCAAGAGCAAAGGTCCTACGGACAGTCAATGACGAATAGAAGAAGGTATTGTAATTTTTAGTGACAGCAACTGTCAAGTTTTGCCGCGGGTAAACTTGACAAAACTGCTGACAGGTGCTGACGTACAATTTTTGCGTTTAGAAACCATTTGTTATTCAAAATTGCGCGTTTGTGATTGGTAGAAATTAAGACGAGGGAAATAGTCTGGTAATATGAGTTAACCTCTCTTTGGCATACCCAAGGTGTGATGCGTTTCCGTGCGAAGGTGTGCGTGGCGGTGGGGATGCATCATCTTGAACTCAGGAATACCGGGCGACCTCCCAGAGTATCTAGCCTTGCGTTCATGCAGCGAGCACCGCGGACATCGACCAACACGTCCCCCATTCTCGTGGGAACAACATGAACCACATCGATCAAAATAAAAATCTCGAGGTCCCGCCAACAGGGGATTTCGAACATCCGGGTGGGCCCTCAACAGGGAACCTCGAACATCTGAGCAGCCGCACACCAGGGGAAGGCGAATATCGGGTCGGCCCCTCAGGGCTTGCTGAAAATTGGAGCACCATCCCCTGCGCATTGTCAGTGCAGGACGGTGCACTCTTCGGTGAGTCATCGGAGCCCAAAAGCGGCCTGGGCGACGGAAAGCGGCAGAGGTCTGCCAGTGGGACGCTGGTAGGCGGGTAGGCGCATCTTTGCGGAAAAAGCCTCGCAGTGCGGCACATGATTATAGCTATGCGTGTGCTTTTCAAGTGAGTCTCAGTATAGATTGTCTCCCATGGCTATCCCGGGACTCAATTTACCGAGGTACAGGACCAGCAGGTGCAGGAAGCATTCAGTGTGCTGATATATGGGCTCCCAGATTAGGTGGCCCTTTCGAGGTACATTGACTGTTACCTCTCTCGAGGGACAGCCATCTTTGTCTGCGAGAACGAGTCCTCGAAGGCATGCTTGGAGGACCACATATGGGATCTGAGACCGTGGGAAGGTGCTAGGCTCATTACTATGAGTTTTGGTGTCCTTCCTGTTTACCACCACGTGATGGCCTGGTTCCCGGGTCCACCTTTGAGGAACAGGGTCATTATGAAGAGGATACCACCATGGTACACATCCCAGCGCGTGGAGGCTATTGGAGAGGAAGGAGGAACCTAAGGGGGTCCGAGTTTTTCTCTCGGTGGATTCCAAAAGCTGGAAGATAATCGAGAAGAATGTGGGGGGGGGGCTTATACTCCTGAGCAAAAAGAAACAGTCGGCTATCGGGACGACACCTGGCGGAGTAGGTCAGGCACCTAATCAAGGGTCTGACCATGGGCAATCTGGACAGACGGGTGCTGCTGCGGTGGGCCAGGCCACTTCACAGGGGACTGGTCAGCCGGGGCAGCTCTCACTGGAACTGTCATTGATGTATCCGCAGGAAGCATCGGGGCAGGCCCGGTGGGAAAACGTGCCTCAGAGGGCGACGATGGCGACTCGGACGCGGTATCCTAAAGCGGGGAAGAGGGCTGCTGCGACAGTGACGACTGTGGCGGTGACTGCCGTACAAGTAGTTAGGGGTCATTTTTGCAGAACATTCTCTGAGATTATGCAGGGAGTTTTACGCGCAGTGGAATCGTGGTGCAGAGAGGTCGACATTTCTGTCAACGCTGGAAAGACCGAGCTGATTCTGTTCTCTAGAAGAAGGAAGCCTGCCTGCCTTCTTTGAGGCTAGACTAGTTCTAACCCAATCGGTAAATACCTAGGAGTTATCTTGGACTGTAGACTGCACTGGAAAGAGCACATGTTGACTACTAGTTTAATAAGGCTACCAATGGAAACTCCGATGGATCTAATGATCCGCGGAGAAGTAGTCTGGGCAGCTGGGCCTTTATCAATCATGTCAAGGGTCACACAAAGGGAGGTTCCCGTCCTTCTGAGCAGGGCTGATCTGATCACCCCTAAATATCGCTTTAGCTGTAAGTTTAATGTGGAAGGCCGAAAGGTCTCTGGAGGAAGTGAGCAAGTCTAGTACACAGACGGTACCGTTACAGAAGACAGCTCTGGCACCTGGGTCTTTGTGCCTAGAATTAGGCTCCCACTGTCTCTCGGCGGATTCATCACTATTTTTCAAGCGACAATCTATGCGATTCTGGCTTGCGTGTCCCGCATTTTGGAGGGGGATGAGCGTAGGAGAAGAATAATCTTCTTCGACAGCCAGGCTGCGATGAAGGCACCAAGTGTCTGCAAGATTACTTCTAACCTTGTATTGTAATGCAGAGAGGCTCTGGATAGCTCGGCAGCGAGGTATCCGGTATCGGTAGTGTGGGTACCGGGGTACGCTGGGAAAAAGGGTAATGATACAGCGGGCGTTCTCGCGAAAGCAGGATCAGCGGACAAGCTTTTGTTGGTCCTGAGCCAGCCCTAGGGGTGCCCGCACAAAGATTCGGGAGAATAATGGGGAAGTGGTTGCTAGACAAGACTCTCTTAAATGGAGAAGCATCTCTGGACATCTCTGTTACGCACGGGAGCGCACCTTAGGGCCCAGTGTTAAGCATGGACGCTTTAGCTCATCTTTGAATAGGTTGTTGGTGGGACTGGCCAATGAGGTGTCACGTGTATGTGATGGGGGTGGCTGAGGATCCCACGTGCGAGCCGCTGATAGGTAGAGGAAGAATCGTCGGCGCATGTTCTGTGTCGCTGTGAATCTCTGAGCTACTACAGGCAGACTATACTCAGGATCCTCAGAATGTTAAATAGTTGGGATTCAGGGCGATACTCAACTTTGCTATAAGGGAGGTGCTTGAGGCTTAGGGAATATAGTTGTGCTTAAGGGCCCGTTATGTGGCGTATGCGCCAACTCCTCGTGGTGGCCGATATGCCTATTTCTTTATTAATTTATTCAGAGATTCATTCATTCCTTGGTACAAGTCAAATTTCGTTATACGGCTTGTCTATGTTCATATAAAAAAAAACAGTCGATTTGAAAAGCTTTTTTTATTAGACTAATAATGAAAATAATAAAAACATGAGAGCAACGATCACAAATCACAATAATAAAAACTTAAAACTACTTAAAGCTACATCTAAGTTCAATGTATAACATTGATATAGGTACAAAACGGGTTAAACGCACATTTATTCGAGCTCTTTCAATTACATATACACCTGGGTTTCAATTTACACTTCCCAAAATACGGCATTTGGAATTGAAAAATTAAATGGAAGTAATATAATAGGGAGGTTTCCAAATGAAACATTGAGAATAATGAATGTGCATGTTCAGGTATGTTAATAGAAGTGGGTATAAAGAGGCAGTGTGTAGAGATTGCGGTTATTATAAAAGATGCGCGTAATGTAAATTTTAAGCAAAGCTGTTTCATAAGAAGCACTAATTATGTTACCAATGAAGCAAAGCTACTTGAGAATACATAGTATATTTTTATTTCGCCTAGAATAAACGTCAATATTTTGGTGCTAGTGAAATTTCTTAGGAAGCCATAGGATGTAATAAGGAAATTACATGCAGTCTCAAAGTCCACTTGGAAGATAAAGAGTGCTTTTACTTAACTTTCCATAAGAGATAGACATTACATTATTGTAAAAGAAATGTATATGCAGACTTGATGTCCGTATACATAAATTTTGTAAAATGTTAGTATTGCAGTTTGTATTGTATAGCATGCAAATATACAACATTTTTGAAGCACAGAGGGAATTAGGTTTTAAGACAGAAATGAGAAACAGAAAATATAATATATACTACCTATTTCATACATGTTCAGTGCGTTAAGAGCTAGCTTATCCATTGTCAGCACTGTAGAATCCTAGATATTTATTCACATTTGGAATCAATTAACTAGCATTTATGTTGTGGAAATTTAAGAAGGCTTATGTACATCATGGTCATTTATTGAACTAAGTGAAGTAAAGATGAGTCAGCCAATTTTGATGGAAGGGTTAATGCCGTATAATTGGTAAATCATGATAGCACTACAGAAATGGGAGAGGTGTCTTAAAAATAAGTTAGTTCTTCTCTTCGTTGTTACCAAAGTTGCCCTCTGCATGAAAACCGGTGACAGGGTCAGCATTGTAGCGCACTAATCTCAGTTTTCCGTCCTTGTCGTGGAAGCCGTAGTGCCCTGTTACCAGTCCCAGGTTGTCGCGCTCTTCAAATCTAAAGTGCCTGTTCAGCCTGTCAAAAAATTAAAATTTAGTTCTGTAAAAACGGAAATATAATCGAGTTTGCAATATACATAAAGCAAAATATTCTCCTTGGCCTAAACTAGAGAAGGATGAGGAAAAAGCGATTTTTTCTTTGTAGCTTGAAAAATACGGGAACTTTCAGTAGTTCGCGTGGATAGCATGAAAGCTAAGAAAATTCATGATATGCTATCATTGTGTTGAATAAATACATTTTTTTTATTACTAGAGAGAGTTTTTCATAAATAGTTGTGGTCTATATGTGTAGTTTCAAATGATTCTACGTAATATTGTTACAATGGTCTATTTGTTTCATACGTATACATATACAGGGTGACCAGTGGGAAAGTTCACTTTCTGATATAAGAAAAAAAAACAAACTTAATGAAAAGGAAATATTTATTATTATCAACATATTCGTAAATTCGGCTGGTTTTATTTCTTGAATATCATTCCGTCTAAATGTGTGTCATCCTCTTCTGAAACACTCTCTTGCAAAGATCCGGAGTTATGTTGTTTATTTCTCGTCGAATGTTGTCTTTACGCTCCTCCAGTATTTGTGGATTATTGGAATACACTTTTGACTGTAGATATCGCCACAAAAAAGAATCGCATGGCGTGAGGTCGGGTGATCTAGAAGGCCAGTGAATGTCTCCAAACTTCGATATAGCTTTTTGAGGAAAAAGTGCGCTGCGTAGGAAAAAGATTCAACATCCGTTCAGCACGAGATTTCCGTAATATACTAAGTGACATATAAATCCGAACACCCAGTTTAAATGGTTTTATTTTAATAAAAGTTGGTAAATGTATTTATCTTACTGTAAATAACAAGTGAAAAAATTTTCAGCCTTACCAGATGGACATTCCGGTTTTTATACTGCTTTTTTTTAATTCACTAACGCTCTAAAAATGAATATTTCAGCCGCAGTAAAAAATCAACGTTGGCGGATTTTGGTTCTTGACATCCTTTACGATCGGTTACGATGCCTAGAGTACGGAGACCTGTACGATTTCGTCAACTTAGTGAGTTGGATAGGGGCCGTATAGTGGGACTTCGGGAAGCTGGACTTTCTTTTCGGGCAATTGCAGTTAGAGTGCAAAGAAGTGTAGACACTGTGGTTAGGTGTTGTCAGGCATGGCTGCGAGAAGGCCGTATGCAAAGAGCAAGGGGCACTGGACGCCGCCGTAGAACAACAGACCGTGAAGATCGCCGCCTAAGATTATTGGCCTTAAGGGACCGTTTCTCCACTACCAGGTCCATTGCAAATGAATGGTTTGCAGAACATGGAAGACCTATTGGCATGCGAAGTGTTTACCGACGAATGAGAAGTTTTGGCTTGTTTTCATACCGGCTACAACTCGAGAACACCGACGTAATCGCCTTGAGTGGTGCAGACAACGGTCACTCTGGGATCAGGAATGGAACAGTATTGTCTTTAGTGACGAGTCTCGATTTTGTTTAGGCATGCACGATGGTCTTGCCAGGGTTAGAAGGCGACGTGGTGAAAGGAGGAATCCACAGTTTTTTGTTGAAAGACATGTTCATCACACTGTTGGAGTTATGGTATGGGGTGCTATAGCTTATGGTTCCAGGTCACCTTTAATCTTCATCAGAGGTAACATGAACTAGCAGCGTTATATCCACGAAGTTCTAGAACCCCATCTTTTACCCTATCTTGACACCCTGGCAGATCCAACTTTCCAACAAGATAATGCCCGACCACATGTTGCAAGAGTCACAATAGACTTCTTTCAACATAGTGATGTCACATTGTTACCATGGCCACCAAGATCTCCCGACTTATCCCCAATTGAGCACGTGTGGGATATGATGGGTAGGAGATTGCTCAATTTGCAACGTCCTCCTCAGACTCTAGAAGCACTTCGAGAGGAGTTGGTGGTTGCCTGGAATGAAATACCACAGGAGGACATTGACCACCTGATCAAAAGCATGCCTAGGCGCGTTGGAGAATGCGTAGCACATCAGGGTGCATCCACACATTATTAAAGGTCAAAGGGCTTTAAAGCAGTGCAATCATTTTGAAATTTTTATCATTTACTTATTATGCTTCATTAAGTACCTATACAAAATTTTATTAAAATAAAACCATTTAAACTGGGTGTTCGGATTTATATGTCACTTAGTATACGTTATCACTTTATTTTTCTTCATTATGCTATGCAGTGTTGACCTAGGGATTCCCAAAGCAGCGGAATGCTTCCGTACAGAACGCCGAAGATTTGCAATGACCGAATCACTTACTCGACGCACATTTTCTTTGATTGATACAGTGGGTGTGGGGCCAGGAATGGGTTGACTAAGAGTAGAGCCTGTTTGACGGAATCTCTTGATTTACGTTTTCAATAGGTTCCTACTTGGAGCACCTCATGGTCGGCAAATGTTGTAACGTGTACAAAATTTCCGATGGGCAGCTGGGTATGAATTACCACTCTTAAAGTAAGCCTTGATAGCAAAATCAAGTTGCGCTCCGGTCCAACGTTCCATTGTGACTATTTAACCCGCACGCCGAACGCGTCGATTGCGTCGATCAAGACTTCTCCCTTCTACCTCGCGGAATTTAAATTTGAAATGTGAACTTTCCCACTGGTATAAATAGTCCTTTTGGCAACGCTGTCTTTGACAGATGACGCGTGAATAGTGTCTTGTGTCATTGTCAAACTTGTTCAGTTTGGTCTACAATTTAACCATGAATCGACTTACGAACGAACAGCGCTTGCAAATTACTGAATTTTACTATCAAAATTCATGCTCGGTTAAGAGAGTGCATCGAGCACTGCTTCCAATTTATGGGCAATTTGGTCGGCCTACTGAGGGAGCTATTCGGAAGGTTGTGACTAAATTTCGAACCCAGTTTACATTATTGCACATTAAACCACCAACACGCAGACATAGAGTGAGGACTGAAGAAAATATTGCGGCTGTATCCGCCAGTGTTAGTGATGACCGTGAAATGTCGATTCGCCGCCGTTCCCAGCAATTGGGCCTCCACTACGTGGAAAATTTTGCGACAGGATTTGGGTGTAAAACATTATAAGATACAGCTGATGCAAGAATTGAAGCCACACGACCTCCCACAACATTTCCAATTTGGTGAATGGGCGCTGGAAAAGTTGGAGGAAGATCCACATTTTTATCGAAAAATTGTGTTCAGCGACGAAGCTCATTTCTGGTTGAATGGGTACGTTAACAAGCAAAATTGCTGCATCTGGAGTGAAGACCAGCCAGAAGCATTGCAAGAGCTACCAATGCATCTCGAAAAAATCACTGTTTGGTGTGGATTATGGGCCGGTGGCATCATCGGGCCGTACTTATTCAAAGACGACAACAGCCGGAACGTAACTGTGAATGGCGAGCGCTACCGTGAGATGATAATAAACTTTTTTTTGCCCAACATGTAAGAGCTGTACTTGGCTGACATGTGGTTTCAACAAGACGGTGCCACATGCCACACCGCAGAGGAAACAATGGCCCTATTGAGAAGCGAGTTCGGTGAATAGTTTATCTCACGTTTGGGGCCCGTCAATTGGCCGCCTAGATCGTGTGATTTAACGCCGTTGGACTATTTCTTGTGGGGCCATGTTAAGGCTAATGTCTACAGGGATAAACCAGCAACGATTGACGCACTGGAAGCCAATATTGAAGCATTTATTCGTGAGATACCGGCCGATATGTTGGAGAGAGTGTGCCAAAATTGGACCTTGCGCATGGGCCATCTAAAGCGGAGCCGCGGCCAACATTTACATGAAATAATCTTTAAACATTAAATTATATCGACCGTTCTATCGACTCAAATAAAGATTTAATCGTTTTTTTCAAATTTTTTGTGTTTTTTTTTATCAAATCCTATACCTCTCAAAAAATCACCCGTTATAATGAGCGAAAATGATACGGGGTAAGAAGCTTTAAAAAAAGAGTACCTACGTCATAATTCATAAAAAACGCTGGTTTTATAAGCGCCATAGGTTTTTGGGTTAGATATCTATACATATATTTTTGTTACAATATAATAATTGACTAGAATTACCTAAGTAATAAAAATTTGAAAAACACGCAGAAATTTTTAATCGTCACTAGTATACATTCCTTTGTTCAGATCATATCATGCAGAAAATTAAGGATGAGAAATGAAGCAGGCGGCAACTATTCACACATCAAAAGTTATACAAATCATCAAGTTGCATTCAAATGGTGATTCCCCAACAAATTAACTGAACAGGATTATAATTATTGGCTTGGGTCACTAATAACAATAATCTCCTTGCTAACCTTGTAGATGTTCGTGGCGATGTGAAAAATGCAGGTTCACAAACTGATCGTTTTTGCAGTAATTGCTCAAAATGTACACGTGAATTGAATATTGTAGTATTTTATAGGAACTTTATGGTCATACTTCACTAATAAGAATACATTCCTTCTACAAGACTGAAACGGGTGATTTAAGAATAAATGTAAAATTTGAAAAGCGCTTATACAAACATATAATTTATTTTATTATAATCGATATGTGACCTCATTCCGGTTGAGGTCTAGTTTTTAGAAATTGTATCCCGAAGTGTGACATCCAACTCGTTTCCTAAAATTTGCTAATGTGCCCCTTGAATCGCCAACTTTCTTTTGAGGTAGTCGAAAAACACAAATCAACTTAAAGTCCGTAGAATTACCTCAATTCACGAGGTTACCTGATTTGGAGGAGCAGGGATAGACACTAACCCTGCTGGTGTAATTCTTAAAAACTAGCCCACGTTCAAGCATCAACTTCAATGCTTTGTACTCGTTTGGGCGATATGCAATAGCAAATGGTGGTCAAGTATGTCCAAAAACGACTTTGTTATAATTTATATATATTTGTAAGCTTTATAAAATGAGATCAGTAAAACTTTCTTTGGGTATATTTGACCACAATTTTTTAAAATACAGCCTTGTGTATTTTAGTGCATGCTAGCAATAAATGAAGTTTTTGGGGAACATCT